CGACTGACTCTGACACCTGTGTACACACGCACACACCTACACAGGTTTACCGCACTGTCATGTCACAGCGGGCCTTAGTGACTAACATTCATACCCACTGTGTTTTCATTGGTTCTTTCAAGGTCACTTCCCAGCACTGACTACCACACGTTCATGTGATCTTGTTTGACATTGTTCGGTCTATTCGTTCAACCATCATCGCACTGCGCGCCTGCTTGCTCGCAGTTCTTGCTTGTCCGATTACCGCTTCACAGATTCCTATCTAATCTATATTTCAGTACCACTTTTGTATAATGATACCAATTGTTAAAAGACACCGTCTTCCGGTTTTTTTAGGCGTCACTCTACGTGTATCGTTGTAACCTGTGAAGTCAACAAGGATCTTGTTCATACTTGACCGTTGTGGGAAACCGACAATTAAATTTCTTTGCGCAATCGAACCGTATAACTCACAAATGTGAGTACAACCTCGTTACCTTAATACCTTAATAATTTCAAATGAATCCGTTGTAACTTCAAATGAGTCCAACCAATCGCACTCTATTGGAAACCCCACAAGATTATTGGTGTTTCGGCCATCAAATGTCACCGACTGGACCGGGTCCGTCTAAGTCTCGTCCAGTCCGAATGAACTCACTTCCCCGTAAACAAACAAAAATACATTTTTAGTGAGTTACCGAGAGAGTTTGAATGTGGATGTGGAATTTGATGCAACCAGCAAGGGAGGTACAGTCGATCGTTAGTTGACGCAGTAAAAAATTTGGGCATACTGGGTCTTCAGCATTTCAGTGACTTCCATTGTATTGGCTGTGGCTCTTCCAGAAGTACTGAGCACCGGCATTCCATGGTTAACTTTTCGAGCAGAGTTAACATGTTTGTATGAAAGCCTGGGGTTTGAAATAAATCGTTATGCTAGAGATTCTTGATGGTTTAGTTTATCTTCGCGCACCAACTTGACGCAGTGGTTTCGCAGCAGTCGGTAATTGTTCCAGATGCATGCATTTGGAAGTCGTTTGTACTTTCTCCAAGAGAGGCCCCTCAGAAATCAATGGCAGCTGAATGCTTTTCTCAACAATGTGTCTCCAGCCTAGTGAATCACCGGGTATGGCACTGACAGATCATTAGGTATTGTGTCATATCAATTAGAACAGAGTGGACACTTTGCTGTTGCGATGACCGTAGGAGTGCTAGCCCTCATGTGACACATTTTACATTCTCTCCACTTCCTCATTTACTGTCTTTTACTCATATATTCACACTTGTTTTATTCATTCTTGTCTAACATTCCTCATATCGTGTCCACTTTGCACGTTACCTGGTTTCGCCCTATCTATTTATCTTAGTCTCAAAATGCCGCTTGGAATGCCGGCGTCAGTCATTTGCAGTCAGAGTGTGTTCGATCTGGAACTCTCTTCCATCCTACGTCGTCTGTGCTTCAAGCATTGAATCTTTCAAACTGAGACTCGATGAAACATTAGCACACCTTACATTTCAACACTTGAATTTACGGCGGTTTCACTTGAAGTTGAAAAGGTATAGAAGGCAGTTTAAGGCGTTCAACGTTCGTTTATCTTGGTATTAATATGGACCATACATCCTACAAACCTCGCTTTTGCGCACAACCCTCAGTTCATCCAGTCCGTCACACGCTCGGGAAGCACTAAACACGAGTTTTGTTTCTTTCCAGCTCATCGGTAGTGCATATCCGTCAACCCGTCCGAGGTTGGGACTCCGGATCCAAATTCAAACTCAAATTTTTTTATGGGTAAATTACAAAGCTGATGCTTATTGAGTCCCATTGGATCTGTACACTCTGGGTTCGGTTGGTAGAACAATTAGATAGCAATGTGCGCAATGTATGGAACATCCTAGATCCTCACAAATGACAACTCCCAGGTCCTTTTCTTTTGGAGAACGCGGCAGTGACTGAGTCCCAAGTAAGTATGGAAAGCGACCCCTGTGACGCAACGATACAACCTTGCATTTCTCAATGTTGAATTCGATGTCATCAGTGATAAACCATCAGTAAGCTGCTGAAAGAGTTTCCTGCAAGGTTTCATAGTCTTCAGGATATTGTATTGTCCTCCATATTTTGGCTTCGTCAGTGAATAATAATACCTTTTCGCCAAGGTCGTTCGAATTTTAGGGAAAAGTTAGGACTGAGTACGGATCCTTGTGGAATTCCGTGGACAACCTCAATCAGTCCCGATAGAGAACCATTACCGCGAACCGATACGGTACGTTGTCGAAGAAATTCTTCAATCCAGTCAAGTAGTAGTCCTCTAAAACCGTATTTATGGAGCTTTGCAGCACTATATGGTGGTTAACCCTGTCAAAAGCTTTGGAGAAGTCTAAGTAGGCTACGTCTACCGCCTTTCCTGCATCGACTGATCTTATCCATTCCTCTCGTGGAAGTAGCAGATTTGTGGTGCACGAGCGTTTCCTTCTAGACCCGTGTTGGGCCGGCGAAAGAATGTTATGCTTCTCGAAATACTCCATCAGAGAATCACCAACAATCGATTCCATTACTTTTGACAGAACAGGAACAGGAGTGTAAATGGATGGCAGTTCGCAGTATCACTTCTAAAGATACCTTTGTAAATGAGCGAAATGATCCATCTCATGTAAGATGTGTTTAGTGCCACTTTATACTGTTTATTTATATTTATTTACATCGTTTTATTTATATTGTTTGTTTATGCTTTTGGACAATATATTATATTATATTAAACGGTATACATATTTTATTATATTTATATTGCGTATCACATGTTACTACTAAATTATATTGCTTTATTTGCAATTCAGAAACATTGATCGATCGACCAATCAGCCTTTTTCTTTTTTGCCTCGTAATTTCCAGGTCCAATGTGATCTACAAAACAAAACAAGTTACAAATTGTGGGATCCAGAACTCCAGACGGGCAACAAGTTTCTACGTTTGCATAAAGTTTCACCCACTGTTTTCTTCATATTCACCAAAACTGCCATGGACTATGAGACTACTCCGAGAGCCAGTTTACTCCTGCACTGCATAGACACCGCTCAAAATCCGAAATTCGATGACCGCTATGGTTATCCGCATCTGCGAACCGATGAATGGATACGAATTACGGTGGCCGTTCANGGCCGTTCAAGATAGGAATGACAATACGCCTGTATTCACAAAACAGTATTATTTTGTTCGTTTACCCGAGCACTCACCGGCGGGAACATTTGTGATTACTGTCACAGCTTTGGATGCTGACCGAGGGGAATATGGCGAGCTCACTTATCACATAAACAGCGCTCCGTTTATTGAAGCTTCCGATGGAGTTCAGCGATCCAAATCCAATCCCTTTGTCATAGACAGACAATCCGGAAAGATCACTGTTTTCGATTCCTCTGTTCTGGATCGGGAACTGACACCGACAATTCAAGTTCCGGTGATTGTCAAAGATAAAGGAGGACTAAGTGCAACCACTTTGGTTGAGGTTACTTTGACTGATGTAAACGACTGCGCTCCAAAACTCCTCAGTCCAACAGAATTCAGCTTGGTGGAAAATCATCGACCGGATGAGATTATAGGTCGAATACATCTAATTGATCAAGATCAAGGAAGAAACGCCCGTATTCATATTGTAGAAGCTCAAGAATATGGACCGGATATACTGAAATATTTACGATTAGCTTCTGATCCGAATTTTCGATATTCACCGGCATACACGATCGGGAGTGAAATAACAGACGTGGACACGAAAGTTGAACTGATTGGTGACGGAGAAGTGCGAGCTTTACTCCTGAGCCAAATGCCGGTGGATCGAGAAACATATGCCGCTCTATTCTTTGAAGTGGTTGCATTTGATGAGGGTGACCCAGTTCGAAGTATCACTGCAACCGTTACCGTTCATATTCGCGACCAAAATGACAATATACCGACACTGAGTTTCCCCTTGCCAGATACAATTTTAGGATTGAATCCGAAGGTGCACACCAACTCTCCACTACATTCATTTGTTACTCGTATCCAAGCAACCGATCCGGATCAGGGTGAGAATGGGACAATTGTTTATCAGCTTCAACCAGGTACCAACGGGAGCTCGTATTTTAGTCTGAATTCCACATCCGGCGAGTTGACCACTTTGTGGTCTCACGATCCACCTGTTCCAGATCACGACAGCTCGGCGACATTGTGGAATGCGGTGAGATTTTTGCCGCACACAACTGCACCGGTTCCCGGCATCTATGAACTTAGTGTTCTGATCAGAGATAAGGGGCAACCGATATTGGAAAGACAGCACAGACTGTTTGCCAAAGTTAATCCGGCTAACTATTCTATTACAACTGTGGAACGCGTTGTGACTACTCAGCCGAATGCGAGCTTATTTCAGTCCTTGTTCAAAGATACGCGAATGAGCAAAACTGTTTTGATCTCACTGGCAGTTGGAAGTATCATTATTGTCATATTCATCATGGCTTACTGTGTTTGGATTAAAATGATTCATAGAGAGAAACTCAGAAAAACACCGGTAGTCACCGTGTCTGGGACCCATCCAGTCAACCCCGTCGAAGACACAATCCAAGCTCATAGCCGGGATCTATCCCTATCCGAGCATAGAATGCCTCATGATTTCTATTCCACCCTGAATACCAATCCGGTGAAAAATCCGGAGAAAGATGTTCACCCGGACTGTGACAACTTTTTCTATCCCCATCAACCGGTTTCGATGTGCATGGAAAGTTTGAATCCGAGTTTTAATTACAGCCTAACTCTGTCCCCAGAACCGATTTACATGCGAGGAATTAATCAGTGGGAATATTCCACAATGACAACTGTTCGTCCAAGACCCATTTGCACGCTAAACCCTTATGATGCGGAACACGAAATTATCCGGCATTACAAATAACCCCGGATCGATTTGGCGCGTGCGCGTGTGGACCGAATCGAGTCAGGTTTTGGACAATATCCTGCAGTATTCATCGGGGAATGTGATTTTGACGATAATTTTGATTCTATTTATCAAGCTAGACCGTGTAAAAGAGAGAGGGAACACACTGCTAGTTTCTATGAAAACAAAACAAAATGAAATTGAAACACACCCGTTTCCCTAATTGATTACTCGTTGTACACACATAAGTCATTATTACCCCGTGTTTGGGAACTCTTTGATGCCTACTGCTGACTGGGACGTAATTGTCCAAAAGAACATACCGCACATCCCTGGTCTGATCGATACCCTCATGCAGAGTTTCACACGTGCCAATTGCATGTCATTCCAGTTATCCTGTCGCACCCCCTCCCTCACTCGCCCGCCCTTCCCGCGACCCCTTAATCTCAAATAGTCTGTTTCGATTTTTCGTTTTCGTTTTACTTTCTAATTTATAGAAAAGTACAGTGATGAATTCTCGGCGAACCGTTTTACGCGGATTCATCCCGTGTGTCACATCATCATTATCATCATCACCATCATCTCGGTTGTGCTTATTTCAACACAATAATTTATCACTTTCTATTCCCGAGAATAAAACAGGTATGTGGAGAAGGATTGAAAACTGACGCAACTCTTTTGTCGGTTTCAAAGGTGAGGGGATTCCGAACGGAGATCGCCATGCCACACACACAAATGCACCTCTTAAAAAAATGGAATTTTTTATTTTTAATAAAATAAAGATCGTACTGTAACACGGACGGGGTGGGGAAGGAACAGTTAGATTTTCATTTCATTCATTCAAACACAAGTCAGATCTGTGTGGACTACACCAAATCCGGCACCCGTAAAATTCATGGTCATTTTTTGTGTATAAAAAGAATGAAAGAATCAGACGATGACAGCCAAAAGACCTCAGAGTAAAAATCCTTCCTCTTAAACGAGAAATGTTGCACAAAATTTTGTAACATTCATAAAAAAATTGTTGATTTACAAGCGCTCGATGAACAGTAATGCCGGATGAATGGGAATTGCGCGTGGTTTCAATGGAAATGACCTAACTGGATCATGTGAAAATACCAGGATGTAATTCTTCAAAGAAAACGGCGAAGCACAATTTGAAAAGAACATTTTCTGAAAAAAACATGAAAAGAACAAAAGGAAAAAGAAAAAACAGTTCAGACAGGATGTCGATGCAAGATTGTTCCAGCGTGATACAGAAGAGGAAAAAGGAATTATTTGTCACACGCATGATCGGAATAGACTAGTTATTGATCTACTCAGAACTCGTTCACTATATCCCTGTCGACTAATCACATCAGTTCAATAAGTGAAAAGTAGACGAAGGTGGAAGCTAACATTTCTTATTATGCTCACCTATGCTTGGGTTTCTTTACTGAAACGGGATGGAATTAGCCGATTAGGTTTTTCACAGCCACCAGGCACTGTCGTTGACGATGTTTGTAATGTAATGTAATGCAATTTCCCATTATTGGATGCACTAAAATGGGGCGATAACCGCCGGTCGTGTACGTCAGGGGTAAGGGCTTTATGTCTCAACCCGAATGTTCGCAGTTCGAGTTCTGACAGGGACATAAAACGTACGCACTGCTGACGAGTCCCAAACAAGATGAAACAATTATCCAGTGCTCTTTGTTAGTCATCAAAAAACATTTCTACGGCATTTAGAATAGTTGTTTTCCTCGCAAAAAATCAAGAATCATAAGCATTTCATGGGAATTATCAATTTCTGTCTGTGAGAAAATCGTTTGCAGGCTCTAGATTTGGATGAAAACCGTATTCGTCTGATTTTTATTTCATATACGACCGCTGAGCAAAGTGTCTCCGAATACGCAGTACACTTAAGTATGATTTACAGATGACCGGGCAAGGAAAACGTGAACTGATTGGTGTTCAGTGATTGCAACTCACAGAACCAAATATCAACGCCGCCGAGCATGGCTCACAAGTCATATGAGGGTCGCCAAACTCGGATTGTAAGGATGGAACTCAGTTGGTCATCGGAGGGCGATGATTTTCTATGACTACAAATGTAGTTTAAAGCAGTAGAAGCAGCAGCAGAGTGTTGATCGGTAGCGAGCTGCCTTTGGTAATGACTCGCCTTCAACGACCACTGTGTTTGAACAGGTGGCAGAATTCCAATTTGACAGCGGCCCCTGGATGATGAGACACTGTGTGGTCGACCTGTAGAGGCCACCACAGCGGACAACATTACTCCTGTGCAAGCGACTGTAGAAGAGAATGCGCGGGTGACAGTGGCACAGCTGCCGAATGCCATCAGGATCTCATCGGGATCAATCCGCAACATCCTACATAAGAAGCTCGGCCTCAAAATGGTTTTTGCACGCTGGATACCCCCATTAGCTCAGTGAGGAACAGAAAGCATTTCGGGTGAATTGGTGCCGCACCATACTTGTCAGGTTTGATTGTGGACGTTCCAATGGAGTTTTGGAGATCATCAGTGCTGTTGAGACCGGAGTGTACAGTTTCAACCCAGAAACCAAGCAACAATCGGCTCAGGCGACACCAGTTGGTGGGTGCCGCCTCGAAAATTCCGATGCGAGCGCAGTGTGGCAAAACAGATGTTGGCTGTGTTCATGGCCAACACTGGTCATTTGGTTACTGTACCTCTAATACAGCAAAGCACAGTCAACGGAGGCTAGTGCACCACCCACAGTCTGTCGAAAGTGCTGTAAGCTACTGCCAGGCGTCGTCCAAGGATCTGAGCAGGAGGGACCTTGTTGCACTATGACAACGCACCTGCACTCTGGTCCAACACGGGTCGGCGAATTCCTGGCTGGAGAACGCATCCAGTAGATTGGTCACACCCTACAGTCCAGACCTGGCCTTGTGTGACATTTTCTGTTCCCAAATGCAAAGTGCATGATGCGTGGAATTCGATATGTGTTACCAACAGCTGCAGTGGAGGCCTTCATTGAACTGGTCGAAAGGTTACCCGCTTCAGTATGTCCGAGCTGTTTCATCAAATGATTTGAGCGCATGAAACTGTACATGAACATTGGTGGAGAATTGTGAGTGTTATAGTTTTAATAACACAGTGATGTCGTTAGAGAATTATATTCACCGACGTTTCGGTTACCGTGGGTAACTTTTCTCAAGTCAGGTTTCACAATCCATGGTTACCCACGGTAACCGAAACGTCGGCGAATATAATTCTCTACCGACATCGCTGTGTTATTAACACTATAACATTCACAATAAAACAACACATGGCGCATCGCTTTTTCGACACACTCCCAACATCATTTGGTCATGATGTGGTAAAAATTGGTGGAGAATACTTGGAGAACATGCAATGCTTATTTTTTGTGTAACAAATAGAGCTTTTGTGCATCCGGAAACATTTTGGTCGGTCCTCGTAAACTTGACTAGCCCGCTGTAGAACGTATCAGTTCACCTAGGGGAGTTTATGTGGTGATCGCGACTTACGGGTTGACGCAAACCACGAGGCGACTCGTGAACTGTAATCTGTTGTGAATAGTGTTCAGTGATTGCAACTCACAAATATCAACACCGCCGAGCATGGCTCACAATTCATACGAGAGTCGGTGTACTCGTACTGTACGAATGGAATTCAGTTGTTGTCATCGGAGGTTGATGTATTTCTGCGACAGTAAATGTGGTTTACATCAGCGACAGTGTGTCGATTGTTTGCGACCTGCAATTGGTTATGACGCTCCGTGTAACTTTTTTGTTCCCAAACGACGATGGCAAATTCGAACACCACCATTCGAAAGGCGGCACAACTTTTACTAAAACTCCACTCGTTACCGTGCACCTTCAGAACTATTCGATAAGAAAATAGTACTGCTTACTGTTGCCATAGTCACAGAAACCGAACTGGAGGACATCTTACTCACGATTGGTTACCATGCCAGTCGTCGGCCCGTTCTACTAAACTGAATTCACTACTGTCCAACGGCACATATCACTTCGGAGATCTCAAAGTCTTCTGGCGTACTCGACTACCTAAGCCGACTTTGACCTCCATTACAATGCCTTTCAACTACGACCCATGGGATCGATTTTCATTTAGTAGGCACCAAACCGCCGCTCCGTAGATTTCGACAGGCATGTTTCTTTTGAATAAAACAAGTAACACAATATGAGCAGAATTGATATTGGCCATCAATTTCGCGCGCTCTCAATCAGCTGTTCACGAACATTAAATAGGTCGAATTTTATCATAGGAATACCATATATGGACATTTACAATTACATGGGATCAAGCAGAAGGCACTGGGCAGTTGAGTCATTACCGACGTCATTTGGGTATGGAAGAAAGAGGAGGAGAGGAATGTTGGCATAGAAACAGTTACGCAATGGAAAACGATTGACAAAGTGGAAAGAGAGTTAAACATGGTTACGTGATACGAAAAAGATACAACCAGAAATGAATTCGAATAGACGAGGAAAGTTAACCGAGTAAAAACAATTGTGCAGCTAAGTAGGTCAAAGAGAGTTACGTAATGAGAAAATGAGAAGAGCGATGTGTCAACCATGATGTAAGAGAACGGTTGAGATGATGGGATGGAAAGAGGAGGGGAATTACCATGGTAATTTCTTTCAGTTTTTCCCATCGCCGTGGTCTGTGATCATCTATTATAAAACGATAATTTCATTTATTAATTTTTATTTACTTTACTCTTAATTTCTTTCTATTGAAAGATAACTTTGTACAAATACTATTTTGCAGGAGAAAGCTGTCAATCGGAGG